ACTATTGTTATCATTATAATATAATATAATATTTAAAAAATATATATTATATTTTAAAGATATAAAATTTATTATTTTTTATATCTGATTTAAAAATTAAAATAAAAATATATTATTATGTCATTAAATTATTAATTGTATCAAAAACTAAAAAAAAAGGTCAGTGGGGGTGTCTGACGTGGGTAGCATAAACGAAGTGTTGCTACTTGTCTATGGGTGTGGTATCATGATGTTGTGAGGTCGTCAACATTCATGATACGTTCTGAGGGTAGTGGCTGTTCCTCTCTTTTTTTTATTACAGAGATATGAATAAGAGCTACAACATATTTTTTTAACGATGGCGATATATATGATGGTTGTAGAGATAATTGCAATAAAGTAAAAAATCGATGATCATTGGATCAATTCTTTGAGTCACTGTAGGTCTAAAAACGACTGACTTTTATTATTCTGTTTGTTCTGTCTTTTATATCTTTTCTCTAGTTTACTGATTATTAATCTATTATACAAAAGCGTATTAGCCCTTTTCAGAGTCTATATATTATTGGTATTAACTCTTCGCTTGTGAGCAAGTCCACGGGGAGTTCTGATTGGTCAGTATAGAAACAGGTCATGACAAAGGTGATCAAAGCGTCATTACCAAAAACGTAAGTGTTGCTGTGAACGTTTTAGGAAATACCAAAAAAGAATACGACACTATAACAACTGCAAAAATTAAAAATCATTCCCCATCGGGGAGTCGAACCCCGGCCGTCTCGGTGAAAGCGAGAAATCCTAACCGCTGGACCAATGAGGACCTATATGTTTGTCGAGTTGAAAAACGTTCCAGTTCCGCCAAGCCAGTCACGTGACCACTACAGTTAAAGGGCGAAACCTGACGCCCCTGACGTCAGGTACTTTGAATAACCTGACGCGGAAGGTTTTTTTAACTTGCCATTTTGGGATTCAGTGTTATGCAGACTTCCCTTTTCAGAATAAACATTCTTATTTTGGACGAATTCTCGTTTTGGATGGGAAAAAAAAAAAAAACACTAAGCCGCAACCGTCGTTAAGAGAGACAATTAGGCACTTCATGTAGCTCTTTCTGGATTCTTTAATCAACTTTTGTAACTACTGCAATGTCTTATCAACGCGAATTTAATGCTCATGCTGCTAGTGCTTCTCGCGATACTAGCGTTACTAACCATACTAACCGTACTAACGATACTACACTTTTTGTTTCTAGCCGTTATATAGATTGCCACTGCAATAAATGTACTTCTCGACGCCCATCTGGCGAAGTTGTTCATAAACAACAAACCAGCCGGCAAATTCGCCGACATATAGAGCTTTATGGTCGTTCTCACCATCTTCTTTCGCCGGCGTCTGACGGGGACGATGGTACCTTGACTTGTGTATTTTATTTGATATACTTTCTCACGTCTTCTTTTTGTTTTCATAGACGACGACGTTGACATGAATGAGCCAGACAATGCCAATAATACACCGCTTTCTTTTCCTGATGCCGGTAATATATCATTCCGGCATTCATATAATCGGTAACTATGAAGTGAACGGTCAATGAATTTTCAACCTTTATTTAATCTGACTTCTTATTTTTTATATGCAGCAATTCATTGTTATTTGACGATTATTTTGCAATGGTAGATGACGAACTTCTTCATGCGACCAGCATCGTTCCTGGAATTGTGACAGAGGATTCGGCTGATGATGTTTTCGGAGAAGTGTTGATTGATGACTCTGGTGCCGAACTTGACATGGAGGGCGTTATTGAGGAAGAAGACCACGACTTATTGAATGACCTATCCGAAGATGACGACTATCTGCGCGAAGAGCAGGTAGAGGAAGAATACGAAGAAGCGCTGCCGCCAAGCTCGGCCAACTGGTTTACCTGGGTCGTCATGACTTGGGTTTACAATTTTTGCGTAAAATATCTGTCAAAGGAACGATCGAAACAGCTGATGATAGGTCTCAATTTTATTTTTCTGGTGTGCGGGATGGAATTTCGATTCCCTGCTGAGTTGTCGACCCTCGCGAAAATGGTCGGTACACCTGATAGTGTCAAGTCTATCATTCATTTTGTGGTCTGCCCCATTTGTCATAAGACAGAAAAAATTGACGATCTGCGGTTGGAACGGTACAATGATCCTGTGGAACAAGTTCGATGCAAGCACGTAGAAATCCCGCGACATTCAATGGCTCCATTCTCATCACCTTGCGGTCACCGATTATTCAAACGTTCCGCTGGAAACCGTCCTGTGCCCATCAAGGAATATAGCTATCTTCCTCTTATTCCGACCCTGCAAATGATGTTCCGCCGCGGAAACTTTGTTAACAAGATCAATTTATGGAGACAACGCACTTCCTTTGTCACTGGCAATCCATCAAATATCTTATACGATATCTATGACGGCCGTATGTGGAACGAACTCAAAGATCAACATGGAGAGCGTTTTGTTGATGATGGACGGTCACTTCTTTTAACCTTGAACGTGGACTGGTTCCAGCCTTTTGACACCGGGCGTCAGCATTCAGTCGGTGGAATTTACTTGACGATCAACAATCTTCCCAGGACGGAACGTTACAAGCCAGAAAATGTGATTTTGGCAGGCGTTATTCCTGGTAGCAAAGAACCTAGCAAACAACAGATCAACCATTATCTGCGGCCTCTTGTTGATGAGCTAGAACAGTTGTATGTTGGCGTTGGCGAAGGAGAAGAACGTATCCGCGCTGCTATTCTCTTGGTTGCTTGTGATATCCCCGCAGCTCGAAAAGTTTCAGGTTTCACAGGTACTTGACATAGCATTAATTTTTTTTCAGAACTAATAATGTATTCTTGGTAGGCATCTCGTCTTTACGTGCATGCTACAAATGCAACCGAACATTTTCAGCTTTACCAGGACGTCATCTCAGACGCGACTTTTCAGGTTTCTCTGACGTTGGTCGATGGGAAGGTCGCGATCCTAGAGCCAATTTGATGCAGGCGGAAAATTGGAGAAACGCATCTACCTTGCAGGAACGAACTCAACTAGAGAGAGAGCACGGTGTCCGTCATTCGGAACTACACAGACTACGCTATCTTGATCTTGTACGGTGCACTATTGTCGATCCTATGCACAATCTCTATTCTGGAACGGCGAAGTACTGTATGAAAGTATGGAAAACCACATTGAACACTGCTACTGGACAGCCACTCTTGTGCGATAATGACTTTGAGACAATGGCGCAACAAATGAACCGCATCATTCTACCTTTTGGCTATGATCTTCCGAAAGGCAAAATTAGCTCTGGTTGTGCTGGCTTGAAATCTGATGAATGGCGCACTTGGGTCCTTGCTGTGTCGACATTTCTTCTAAAAGAAAAGCTCACCGGTCAACACTTGAGGATTTGGATAAAATTCGTGCGGGCAAATCAACTTCTCTCCAAGCCATCGATTAGCATTTCGGAGGTTGATGCTGCACATGAACTATTACGCCAATTCTGTCAAATGTTTCAAGAGCAATACGGTCCAGAGAGCGTGATGCCCAATATGCATCTGCATATGCACCTCCGAGAAACGATCCTTGATTTTGGTCCAACGTACGCATTCTGGTTATTCGGTTTTGAAAGATGTAATGGATGGCTAAAAAAGATCGACACAAACACCAAAGACGGATTCGAGATGACCTATATGAAGAAATTTGTGGAGCAAGCCTATGGTGCAGATCACCTATCCCATTCCCTTTCTAGTATTCCTCATCAATATTTCGACGCCGCAATGCAACTCTTGAAGACAGTTATTCCGTCGATGGCAGCCCTTTCCATGGTAACTCAAGATACCAACAATGACTTTTTCGACATGGACGATTTTGTGCGGTTGGCTGAACCGGTTAATGGTGCACTTGGCTTTGAAGACCTACCGCCATCAACTTGTTTGGAGGAATCGAACAAGTATATCACTATGAACCCTGTGCATTATGATTGTCTTTTCCGGTATTATGACAACTGTTACGAGGAAACGCTTCGACCTGTGACCAATTACGTTGACACTGATGTGACCATGGTGACCAATATTATACGAAAGGTTCCTCGTGTATCCATACTCGGCCAAGATTATAGAAGCAGGGAAACATCAAGAACAGATAGAGGTCGACATATTCAGGCATACTTCAAGGCGGCGAATAACGAATACTACTTGCGACCTGGCGAAGTGCTCTATTACTTTACCCATAAAGTGAAGCTAGCGACTGAACATGAGTGTGTCACCTCAGAGTTTAGGCATACATTTGCATTCGTACGATGGTACCAGCAGGCCGCCTATACAGTTCCAAGCTTCGATGAACTTAGAATGCATGTTTGGAGGAATTCCTTCGACGAGTTGGACAGAACGTGCATTTTGCCGATTCAGTGCATCTATTCTCCTGTGGCAATCTCTGCCTGGCTAGACAACAATATTGTTATTATTCCATTGCCCCGTAAAACGTGCTTTTAATGTTCTCGGTACGTCAATGAGGTCCCTTGCTTTTTGGATTGAAATTTAACTTACATTTTGATAGGGCCAAGACTGTAGACATATTGAGCCATGTCACTCATTGGTGCACAGGTATACTAGGTATGAAAGTCAGATATACCGGGATATTATCGGCTAACTTTTCATTATATGTTATAGCATCCACAACAGCCTATGATTACGGAGGAGAAGGCACGATATCGTAATTATAAACCATGATGAATTGAAAGGTCATATGCTATCAGACTGCTTGATAGTCATCAAAATCCTTATTTCTGAGGTTTCATTCGATACGCTGCCTTGTTCTTTCTCAGATGTAGCTCGTCTATTACGATGCTGATTTCAACTGTAACTTGTATGTTCTTATCTATCCGTAAATGGTATATTGGCCATCTTCTATTGACATTTACTATGAAAGATATGCCGAAATAACGAACATTATCAGTCATCAATCCATGAAAGGTATAAGCGTCATGAAAGCTAGGATAAGACTATGCATTAAAATATTTTTTTATTGTTTTTTTGCTTCTTGTGGCAGCATTGCCCAAAGAGCTGGTCTAGGAGATACTTCGGCTGCCACGTACTCCTTTGGCAGGGGTGCCCGCCCAAGGCGCTTGCTCTTCTTTCTTTGCTGAGCAAACGCCGACAGCTCATCGAGGAACGCATTGGCCTATAAGAACGAAAAATGACTTCGTAAATTTATTACTATGAATATGCGGACCAAAATACTTACCTTGTCGCTCCTCCAAATAGGGCGAAGCACCCTTCTCCCAACGAGGCAGCTGCCCTCGATGATGTCTTCTTCATCAGACATCAGACCAGTCTGCAGCAGCACCTCCGCACCAGGAAAATGGCTGGGTATCACTGCGCCAGCCACATAGAATGCTGCTTGGCGCTCGTCGCGCTTCTAAAATTTAAGATAGGTTAGTGTCAATCAAATTGCGTATGTCAGTAAAATTACTCACATCCCTGCGGCGGTTTTTCAGCTTCTGCTTCAGCCTGTACCCCTCGGCATCGGCTTTTTTTTTCTCATATTCTGCGCGCATCGAATTGTGATGCTTGCGCACCCTGTGGCGTACCACGCGTGGGGTCCACGAAGGCTTTCGGATCTCATCCGGAAGCTGCTCAATAAAGCCAATCAAGGCCTTGGCAACATCTGGGTTCCTGCTCCTATTGAAACCGGCTTCCAAATCCCAAAAGAGCTGCTTCTGTTCGCCCAAGTATTCGTAATGTTTACGGACCCTTTCCTACAAAGCAAAGTAAGGGACCACCTCATAAATCCTATGTTTCGAATGCTACATACGTTCAAGTCAAGATCCGTCGTTGTTACAGGAGCAACCTGTTTGCGCTCGGCACTCTCCCACTCCAACTTGACGATCTTCCGCTCCAAGCCGCGGACCTTGGCTTCAAGGCGTTCGATTTTCTGCGCATCAGAGTTGGTGTCCTCGTTTCTGCGCTTTTTAGGCGTGAGACGCGCTGTGGTGACGGTGAGTGGTTGGCCAGACATGTCAAAAAAATTGGACGAGAAAAAAGGAGATTCAACTGCCGCTGCTGGACCACTAAATAAAAATGTATTCCGAGAATACTTTTTGTCATACACCTCTTTCTCTTCTTTCCCACACAATCCCGTTGACACGGAGAAAGTAAGTTGTTATTGACCAGTATCATCTTGCTCACCTTTGTATTTTGTCATCACAGTCGCTGGTCATCATCCTGGTTCTCCTTATGGTTGCTATGCTGCCCACTGTGATATTGGTCTGGAGTGTACCTCTGTTTGTATAGCCATGACATAGCTCCCTGGAACTGGTGCGCGGTATCATCATTGACATACACACCGACGATGTACTGTACAATGCTCAGAACTGTATATACTCTTGTACATATCTTTTCTTGTATGAAGATGTTTATGTATAAGAGTTCATATCTGTTCTGACATTGTCGTCGTTTTGTATCGTCATTGCATGTTACTGCAAACTTAGCATTGGGATTTGTCATGAGTATATAAACATAGACAGCTTGCCCTTTATCATGTTTGGCAGTATACTGTATCGCAAGTAGAAGCCAGAATACTTTTGATTATTCTTTTGATTTAATTCAGCTATAGTGATTCATATTTTCCTTCTATCTTCTATTTTACTATTATGTACATAGTAGTCTTCGATAAGTAGTGTATTTATAGTATACTGTAGCTCCATGCCTCCATAGCTCCATAGTATAGCTTTGTTTTATTTCTGAAGACAAGAATAAAAAAATAAATATCCACAATATACGCAACAGCCCTCCGAAAGCTATACAAAATGGTTAAAGAAGTGTAATCTGAGCCCAATAAAAAATGAGATGGATCTAGCCATGAACCAATAAGAAGTGAACATCCGTCTAAAGATCTATGAAAACCAGCGAATAATTGAGCTGCGAGCATCTGTCTTTAACCAATGGTAATGAATTTTTTTGTATGAAGTAACCAATGGTATTTATCAAATGCCTTGTGTCCAAAGGTCACGTTAACGTATTTCTATTGGATTGACGTTTTTTAAGATTCAAAGTCAGGTGGATTCCCTCCGCGTTAGGTTTTTTGGATTCCCTCCGTAAGGTACGTAAGGTTTTTTAAAAACCTTACGTACCTTACGCGGAGGGTTTCGCTGTTTAACTGTAGTGGACGCACTACAGTTAAACAGCGAAACCTGACGCCCCTGACGTCAGGTACTTTGAATAACCTGACGCGGAAGGTTTTTTAACTTGCCATTTTGGGATTCAGTGTTATGCAGACTTCCCCTTTTCAGAGTAAGCATTCTTACTTTGGACGAATTCTCGTTTTGGATGGGAAAAAAAACCACTAAGCCGCAAACCGTCGTTGAGAGAGACAGTTAGGCGCTTAGCTCTTTCTGGATTCTTTAATCAATTTTCGTAACTATTGCACTGTCTTATCAACGCGAATTTAATGCTCATGCTGCTAGTACTTCCCGCGATACTAGCGTTACTAACCATCCTAATGATACTACACTTTTTGTTTCTAGCCGTTATATAGATTGCCACTGCAATAAATGTACTTCTCGATGCCCATCTTGTGAAGTTGTTCATAAACAACAAACCAGCCGGCAAATTCGCCGACATATAGAGCTTTATGGTCGTTCTCACCACCTTCTTTCGTCGGTGTCTGACGGGGACGATGGTACAGTGACTCAAAGAATTGATCCAATGATCGCCGATTTTTTACTTTATTGCAATTATCTCTACAACCATCATATATATCGCCATCGTTAAAAAAATATGTTGTAGCCCTTATTCATAGCTCTGTAACAAAAAAAAGATGAAGTCTCTAGCATAAGTAGATAGTGAGTAATCAGTATTTGCATGCGACCACTCATTGGATCAATTTATTGGGTGACACTTACTTATTAAATTAATAGTTGATAGCACCACCTTTGGCTCTAATAACTGCTTCCAGGCGGTCAGGCATAGTAGCAATAACCTTTTGGCATGCTTCTTTGGTAACTTTGTGATACCAAACATAAGCAACACGATCCCACAGCTCTTTTATGGACTTGGGTGCTTCAGCATAGTCAGCAAGCTGACATTTCAGATAATACCACATATTCTCAATTGGATTGAGATCAGGAGAGTAGGGAGGCCATTGGAGTACTTCAACATCCTTTGCTTCAAACCATTCTTTTGCCCTTTTGGATGTATGCTTAGGATCATTGTCCTGTTGAAAAATGATATCATGAAGATCCATACCATAACTTCTCAGACTACCAAGCATGTCATCCTCCAAAATATGGCAATATAATTCTGAATCTAATCCTCCTTCAATTTTGGTTATAAGACCAGGACCGTTTGCAGTGATACAACTCCAGAGAACAAGACTGCCACCACCATGCTTGATAACATGATTGACATTATGATCTCCAAGCGGCTTTCCCTCTTCTCTCCATGTCCATTGCTTACCATCAGAGCCCAAATGGTTGATTTTTGTCTCATCAGAGAACACAACCCTTTTCCAGTCTTCAACTGTCCAGGAACGATACCTTTTAGCAAATGCCAGGCGAGCCTTTTTTCTAGCAGCAGTTAATGGTAATGCATTAGGCTTGATCATTGACTTGAACTTATTTTTTTTCAGAAAGTTTCGGATCGTCTGGGGGTGGATAGTAGGGTTCCTTAACGGGTCGGCAGGTCAGTGACCCGAACCGAACCGAACTGGTTTTTTTACGGTTCGGGTTGACCTTTTCTGACCCGCCCACCAGTTCGGGTCAAGGCTTGACCCGACCCGTTGACATTACGGGTCAATGACTGAACCGACCCGTTGACATCACAGTTCAACCGCTGACCCGACCTGTTGACATCACGGGTCAACCGCTGACCCGACCCGGTAACCCGTTAGTGACCCGTAAATCTGATTTAGAATGGTGATGACATGGCACAGATTCCAAATGAGGACGCAATTAAAGAAGCAGAATCAGAATCAGAATTTATTATGAATGAAAAGAAAATCTATGGCAAAGACAAAAAAAGAAAAACAGAGGATAAAAAATAAAGAGAACGGAAGATATAAAAAGGAAGAAAAAAAGGAAATAAAAAGAGAACGTAAGAGAAAAAAAAAGAAAGAGAATGGAAGAGCGGAAAAAAAAAAGAAAAGAGAAGAAAAGTGAACGGAAGAGGAAAAAGGAGAACAAAGGCGAAAAAAAAAAAACCGAACGGAATGGGAGGAGGAGCTTAAAGCCACGAGTTCAGAAGGATACTCTGCTTCAACGGCTCAGGTTGCAACCGATTGCGCACAGCAGGAATGAAATGCTTCGCACGAGAAAAAAACCGCTCGCATGGCGTCGATGTTGCTGGAATGGCAAAATACTTGTGTGCCATCTTCGCCAATTGAGGGTACTGGACTTGTCCCACAGTTCGCCAAAACAAAAGCTCACAGCTGTCTTCATCGTCATTGCTGGGTCCGGCCTCAATCAGCAAAGGTGCCTCCACATATGCTTGCAACGAGTCAAGCACCCGGCGTCTTTTCGGTCGGTACACATCGCGCACGTCGTCACTTCTGTCTTCCTCAACATGATCAGGGCCCTTCCATTCCGCCCAAGCTGACTGAACTTTGCACTTCGCATCGGCAATGAACTCTGGCTCCCAGTTCTGTTCCATCCAGTACGCGTACTTTAATCGCGGATCCAATGCTGTTGCCGTCGCATACACAGGGCTTTGGTCTGTTTTAGCATA